CTGAGTGACCCTGAGTGACCCTGAGTGACCCCCAGGGATCCAAAGTGTCCATGACAGGTCCAAAGTGACCATGTGACTGACCACCAGGGTGACCTCCTGAGTGACCACCAGGGGTCCAAAGTGACCATGAGATGACCACGAGAAGCCCCAGATGACCCCGAGATGACCACGAGAAGACCCAGAGGACCATGAGATGCCCACAAGGTTCCCTAGATGACCATGAGATGACCACGAGAAGCCCCAGATGACCCCAAGATGACCACGAGGAGACCCAAATGACCACGAGAAGCCCCAGAGGACCACGAGATGACCACGAGGAGACCCAGGTGACCTTTAGGTGGTCCAGGTGACCACGAGGAGACCCAAAGGACCACGAGAAGCCCCAGAGGACCACGAGATGGCCACGAGGAGATCCAAATGACCACAAGATGACCACGAGGAGACCCAAATGACCTTTAGGTGGTGCAGATGACCATGAGATGGCCACGAGAAGCCCCAGAAGACCATGAGATGACCATGAGGAGATCCAAATGACCACGAGATGGCCACGAGAAGCCCCAGAAGACCACGAGATGACCACGAGATGACCATGAGGAGATCCAAATGACCACGAGATGGCCACGAGAAGCCCCAGAAGACCACGAGATGACCATGAGGAGATCCAAATGACCACGAGATGGCCACGAGAAGCCCCAGAAGACCACGAGATGACCACGAGATGACCACGCGACGCCCCAGATGACCGCGCGGCGCCCGGCCCGAACCCCCCTCAGATGCCACCTTACCCTCGGGAGAGGTGGTGGCCCCCCAGCCCGAGGTGACGCAGGCGGTGCCGGGCCGGGGGAGACACGAGGCCACCGGGACGGGCCGGACGCGCTCGGAGATGGCGGCGGGGGCCAGGAGCTTCAGCAGCATGATGTCGTTGTCCTTGGTGGAGGGGTCGTAGCCCGGGTGGGCCACCATGCGGGCCACCATGCGGCGCTGCTCGCCCGCCTCGCGCGCGTACAGCCGGTGCTTGCCCAGGGCCACCGTGGTCACCCTGCGGGGTGGGACACGTGGGACGGGTGAGGGACACGTGAGGAACATCTCGGGAACATCTCAGGAACATCTCAGGGATATGGAGGGGATGGGACAGGTGAGGAACATCTGAGGAACGTCTCAGGGACATGGAGGGCATGGGAAAAGTGAGGAACATCTGAGGAACGTCTGAGGAACATCTCAGGAACATCTCAGGAACATCTCGGGGACATGGGGGACAGGGACAGGGACAGGTGTGGACAGCCGGTGCTTGCCCAGGGCCACCATGGTCACCCTGCGGGGGTGGGACAGGTGGGACGGGTGAGGGACACGTGAGGAACATCTGAGGAACATCTCAGGAACGTCTGAGGAACATCTCAGGGACATGGAGGGCATTGGAAAAGTGAGAAAGGTCTGAGGAACGTCTGAGGAACATCTCAGGAACGTCTGAGGAACATCTGAGGAACATCTCAGGAACATCTCAGGAACATCGCAGGAACATGGAGGGGATGGGACAGGTGGGACAGGTGAGGGACAGGTGAGGAACAGGTGAGGAACATCTGAGGGACATCTCAGGAACATCTCAGGGACATCTCAGGGACATGGAGGGGACAGGACAGGTGAGGGACGTCTGAGGAACACCTGGGGAACATCTGAGGAACATCTCAGGAATGTCTGAGGAACATCTCAGGAACATCTCAGGAACATGGAGAGGACGGGACAGGTGGTACAGGTGAGGAACACCTGGGGAACATCTGAGGAACACCTCAAGGACATCTCAGGTGCCCCCAGGTGTCCCCAGGTACCCCCAGGTGTCCCCAGGTGCCCACAGCAGTGCCCAGCTGTCCCCAGGTGTCCCCAGAGTGGCTCCACCCAACATCTCAAGACCTTCAAGTGACCTCAAGCACCATTTTTGGCCCCAAACCCCAATTTTTGGCCCCAAAATTTGGTTTCTTTGCCCCAGAACGACGTTTTACAGACCCAGGTTCCCCCAGGGGTCCCCAGGTGCCCCCAGAGTGGCTCCACCCAACATCTCAAGACCTTCAGGTGACCCTAAATCCCAGTTCTCCACCATTTTTTGGCCCCAAAATTTGTTTTTTTCGTCCCAAAATGATGTTTTATGGATTCCAGGTGTCCCCAGGTGCCCCCAGGTGTCCCCAGGTGTCCCCAGGTGTCCCCAGGTGTGCCCAGGTGTCTCCTCACCCAGGTGTGGTGCAGTGCGCCGCTGTCACCACCCAGCGCGGGGCCACCAGGACGCCGCCGCAGTAGAGTTTGTACATGTCCAGCACGGCCACCTGCCAGGGCTGCGAGTGCGGGACGCAGGCGTGGCCGCCCACCACACGCGTGTCACCGGTCACGCGTGTCACCTGCGCCACTG